AGTTCAGTAGTCCATAATAGTATTGGGTCTTCTGCTTCACTGGCATGTCAGAAATTGTTGACCTGAGTCCCCTACAACTCAACATAACACCATGGCTTTACTTCTTGTACTTCGTTTTTATACTTTTCTGCTGGGTGCTTAAGACCAAGGTAAAGCAAGACTTGTGCAACAAGAGTTGTAGCTTTTGGGTCTGATAAGGTCAGTGAAATTCCCTCAAGATTTATGCTGAGATCCTGTACCTCAGATTGTAGAACCACTGTCAGTGTCAACCATGTGGATTAGTCATGGCCATTGCTTGACCACTTTGCTCTGTGGGAAAGCCTGAGAGAATGTTTTCTCTCCCATGTGACTCTTGTTAGATACACACTACATCATTGATCTCTTTCCTCTTGGGCCCCATAATCTCCTTGATCAGAAAATTTGGGACCCTTCTGAGTTACATGGTGTTACAGTACAAGTTCTCATATGTCCTGAGTCTTAGTTGACCTTGGAAGGCTAGAGCCAAAATGTTGGCTTTCCTTGTGAACCCCCTTTTTCTCTAATTTTGGTCTGTAAGTTTAGGTTGTTAACCCCACAGAAGAGAAGTTTATTGTTATTACCATGTAGCCTAAGATGTTAAGCTTAACCTCAGTATCTGTCTGAATATGAAACATCTTAGGCATAACATGGAATAGGTATTTTTCATCAAGTATTGACATGTTGAAATTTAAGTCACTACAGAATATGATGAAAAAACATTCAAAAATTAGAATGTATTTTAAAAATAGGCATAAAGAATTATATACTTATGTTTACACATAAGTCCTGAAATCTAACCATATACAACCTTGAAGCAGGACAGTCCAATAACATTCCTTTTTCTGTCTCCTGCCTTCATTCACCACCCCCTTCTTTTTGAACAGTCATCTACCCAAGAGACAGCACAGCAGCAACTGACATGTTATGACAAGCAGCCCATATTCAGAAGACCAGAATGACAGGCTCTCCAAGCATGAAGCTACTATTACAAATTGCCATCTTCAGTGCAGTTGCTTAGTTAAAAAATCTTTTCCTTTTCTTTCTTTCTTTTTTTTTTTTTTGGTGGAACTGAGGATTGAACACAGGTCCTTGTTCTTGCCCGGGAAGCACTTATTCCACTAAGCCATCTCCCTGGTCCCTGTATTTTCACATATTTTTAATTTTATGAAGTCTTTTGGTGCATTTGGAGTAGTACAATTAGTTTCTATAACAAACTTAAATATGAATAAATTATTTAATATCACATTCTAAATCTTAGTAACCCTCTGCACTAATCTTCTTTTTTTAAAAGATAAATTTATTTACTTTTATTTGTTACTGTACAATGACTATCAGGTGGATCCACTGGAGGTAATTTAATCCAGAGCTCAGGTAGAGGATTTGTGTGAGATAGACCTATACATGATGCTGAGCTCTGAAAACAATCATCTCTGTGAGTAAGTGACCACTTCTGTGGGTTTTCCTTGTCCTGAGAAGGAGAAAGGTACATTTAAAGTGTGCTTTGGGTATTTCCAAGAAGCAGTTGCGCTAAGTACACTCTATTAGCTCCTGTACTGAGAGCTTCAACTTCTATGAGACAAAATACCAATACCCACATTTTCAATGAAGAAAGGTTTATTTTTCTCATGGTTTCAAGAGATACAGTCCATGGCAGCTTGTTCCAAGGCAAAAAAAAAAAAAAAAAATTGCAGAAGGACAAGACAGGACAAACCAGCACAGTCTATGAAAGCAGAATAGGGGAACCATGTCAGGAGGAATAGGGAAGGGATCAAACATGTAAATAAGGTCACTCATCCATGACCCACTCAGAAACACCCAGAAGTGTGTTCCCTCAGTGTCTTAGTTGGCTCCCATGCCAATCAAGTTGACACCATCAAGTTTAACCCCTATAAGTTCATTAGTCAGCATTCAAGAAATGCAAATTTTAATGACAATCACTTTTTATAGTATTTCTTCTTTTAATACTACTGAAGAAATATTAGTTCAAAGAATTGTCTAAAAGTCAAGCCAAGCAAGCAGTTACAAAGAATAAACAAGACTCCCATTAAGAAATGGTTTTGAAGGATTCACTCCCTTCAAAATGTCACCAAGACTGGTAATTTGAATCAAAGTGTTTATTCTCCTGTTATCTATAGGTAATGGATAAATTCTGTCTCCTTTCTGTAAGTTTCAGGTGCCCTTGAGTAAACTAACAATGTAAGTCAGCACAGAAATGGTAATGTAATAATTAGAGCTTTTGTTTCTTTCATTCAGCCTGGGAGGAGAGGGCTCCGATCATAACATTGTTATTTTTCCACTCACCAGGTCTTTCTTCTTCCCAGGAAACTTTGGACAAGAGATAGTAGAGAATATCACTGCAGTTCTAAATAAGGGAGGTGAGTGTCTGCTCGACCTTGATCTATGATACAAAATGGGGGTAAATAAAACAAACTACAAGAGTCAGAGTGCCAAAGTTCTTTGGGGTGAAGCTCAGTGCTTTATTGAGTTTGATGTAAATTGTTAATCTCAATTTTCTTGCTTGTTAAATGTCCCATAGCTCCTAGAACAGAGCCTCTTACAGAAATGTTTAAATATATATTAGTTTATAAATTAAAATTTAATCTAGAACTAAGAGATCTTGGAGAAACATAGCCTCTGTTTTAGTTAAAAATATATTGAGTGAAATATCTAATTTAAAAATGCTGTAATAAATCAACAAGTAGAACATAAATAAAACCTGTTATTTTAACTCAAAACATGGTAACTTTCACCTGTCAGGAGAGATAAGAGGCCCATATGCAGTAGCTGAAGTACAGTGCTGAAAGGGAAAGACAGATCTACTATGTACCATTAGAGAGTCACCCAGCTAGTTTGTGGTGATCATTTTGAGCAGTGTCAGCTCCTGTTCTGGAATCAATGCCTTGTGCTAGTGCCTTTTAAAAATTTTAAATTAAAAATTTTTTTGGTACCATTAGAAGTTAAAGTCACCTGGTAGTTTGTTACTATCCATAGCAAAAAGGAATAGTCCTTTAGTTTGTGGATTATTTTTTTTAAGAATAGAGGATGTATATAGAAACGTTGTTGCAAAATATCATTATTTTCAAGGGATCTTCTTTTTTACCCCACAGATCACACATGACAGAGTCGAATGGGGGCCAGAAACTCCTCTGTGACAGAGTTCACCTTTTTGGGCTTAACTAATCATCCAGGACTCCAGATACCACTCTTCTTCCTGTTTCTAGGTTTCTATTTCATTACAGTGCTGGGAAACCTGGGCCTGATCATTCTAATAACATTGAACTCTCAACTTCACACCCCCATGTACTTCTTCCTCTTCAACCTCTCTATAATAGATCTATCTTACTCCACCACCATCACCCCCAAAATGCTGATGAGTTTTATCTCCACAAAGAACATGATCTTTCATGCTGGGTGCCTGACTCAGCTCTTCTTCTTCTGCTTCTTTGTCATTTCTGAGTCCTTTATCCTTTCAGCAATGGCATATGATCGCTATGTTGCCATCTGCAAACCTTTGGTTTACATGGTCACCATGTCTCCCCAGGTGTGCTTAGTCCTCTTGTTAGGTGTCTATGTGATGGGCTTCACTGGGGCCATGGCTCACACAGGAAACATAATGAGTCTGACCTTCTGCTCTGACAACCTCATCAATCACTTCATGTGTGATATTCTTCCCCTCCTTGAACTGTCTTGCAACAGGAATAAAGCAAATGAGTTGGTCATCTTTGTTGTTGTGGCCATTGACATCATAATTCCTATTGTTACCATTTTCATTTCTTATGTGCTCATTTTGTCTAACATTCTCCACATTCATTCCAAGGAGGGAAGATCCAAAGCCTTCAGCACGTGCAGTACTCATATGAGTGTGGTGCTTCTTTACTTTGGCTCTGGGGCTTTCATGTATCTGAAATCACCAAATGCTCTACCTCTTGATCAAGGGAAAGTGTCTTCCTTGTTTTATACCATTGTGGTACCTATGTTGAATCCATTAATCTATAGCTTGAGGAATAAGGATGTTAAAATTGCTTTTAGGAAAACCTTGGGGAGAAATGTATTTGAATAAAGGATGAAAAGCTTTGTTTATTGATATGTATATTTTTATGTTAATGTGTAGTATATAATGTGTACATTCCTTATGCGATGTTGGTGTGTGTACATGAACCTCTTAATTTCTTTTTCATTGCCTTTCCTATTCTTCCACCATCCATCCCAGTATTCCTCTTCTTTCATCTGTACATGTTTACAGCACATAATGTTTACATTCCTTGTGTGAGCAGGTGCATGTACATTCTACACCTCTATTTTCTTTATTCATCTCTTATCCCTGTCTCACTGTGGACTCTCGCAATCTCTTGATGCCTTTTACCTCTGAGGACAATTAATTGCCCTTCTTCCTATTATCTTTCTTTTATTTTCTTTTTACTTTGACTTTTGTTTTCTCATTTAGGGGAAACAATGTGATATTTAAGATTGGGTGTGGCTGGCAAGATAGCTCAGCACCTCCCTAGGCAAGCTCAGGGACCAAGATTTGATCCCCAGAACCACATGCTGTGCTAGCTCTGATCATCTGTGTGCTGACCCAGTCCTCAAGTCTTGGTATGGTGGTGTATGTGTAATCCCAGCACTAGAGAGGATGCAAACAGGAGGATCAGTAGGAGTCTAAGCTACATAGTGTAACCCTACATCAAATATATTAAAAAAATATTGTGTGTGATTTACTTCACTTAAAGTTATCATCTCAATGTCATCATTTTTCCTACAAATGAATCAAGCTTATCTCTTTTGATGCAGAGTAGTACTCTATTGTTTATAAATATCACATTTGATTTTTCCATTTATATGTGCATGGACATATGGGTTGCTTCCAAAGTTTAGTTCTCATGAGCTATGAAGTTATAGTACAAAAAGGAAAGTGTCAGATTATCACTATTTTCACATAATATGATCCTGTATATGGAAGAATGTAAATATCTACCAAACATTGTTAGAACTAATAAAACTTAGTAATAGCAATATACCATTAACAATGTTGTCAATATACAATTAACACACGAATATCAAAAGCACTACCATATACTAGTAATGAGCTCACTGAGAAACAAATTAAAGAAAAATACCATTTACAATACTGTTAAACATTTAGGAATTTATGTAAGTGCAAGACCTCCATAAAAAAAGCTACAGTACTCTTAAAAAGGTTTTTGAAGATGTTACCAGAAAATGGAAATATACCCTCTATTTCTGGGTAAGCATAGCTGGTACAGCAGAATAGCTATCCTTCCAAAATTAATATTCAGATTCAGTGCAATTCCAACAAATATCCCAAGAGCATTCTTCACAGAACTGGAGAAACTAATTCTTAAGTTCATATGGAACCAGAACAGACCCAGAATAGCAAACTCAATCCTTGGTAAAATGAGCTAAGTAGGAGGCATCCTGACCCTAGACTTTTAGTCATATTAGCAAGCTGCTATGATGAGAGCAGCATGGAACTGACACAAAAAACAGCTGTGGAGATCACTGAAACAGAATAGATGATCAAATAACTCAACAATTTGCTTTTGACAAAGATGCCCAAAACATACACTATAGGAAAGACAGCCTCTGTAATACATGGTGTTAGGAAAAGTGGCTCTTTACATGCAGAAATCTGAATTTAGACTTATTTCTCTCTTTGCACTAAGCTAAAATCAAAATGAATCTAAGAAATCCAGATGTGGTGGTGCATGCCTATAATCCCAGTACTTGAGAGGCTGAGGATGAAGGGTCACTATGAGTTTGAGGCCAGCCTGTGTTACCTGAGTGAGGTTAAGGCTAGACTGAACTCAATAGGGATATACAGTCTGAAAACAAAACAGAGCAATCAAATCAAGTCAAAGCAAGACAAAACAGAGTAAACAAAACAAACTGGATCTGAGAACTAAATGTTATACCAGAAACAATTGAAATGCTGGAAGTCAAGAGAGGTAAAACTCTTGAAGTAATAGACATAAGCAGTAACTTTCAGAATAGAACAAAATTTGCACAGAAATAATTATGAGAAACAACAAAGATGATGATATTAAATTGAAATTGTTCTGCACAACAGAAGAAACAACCAACAGAGTGGAAAGACAGCTTGAAGAATGGGAAACAATTTTCTGCCATTCTGATTCCTTAGATGGAGGACTTGATCTAGAACATATAGTGACAAAACATTAGATGCCCCTCAATAAGAGACCAAATGAAAAAAATGAGAATGTCAAATAAATAGATAATTTACTGGGGAAGTACAAATGCTAATAAATATCTATAGAAACACTCAACATTGCTCACAATTTGAGAAATGCTAATTTCATCAATACTGGCATTCAATCTCACCCCAGAAAGAATGGCCATCATCAAGAAATCAAATAGCAACAAACACTGGAAAGACTGTGGGGAAGAGCAAAGCCCTTCCACATTGCTGCTTGGTATGTAAACTAGGACAACACTATCACTGTGGAATTAGTAGGGACAATCTTTTTTGAATTTTTTTTAGATATTGGGAATTTAACTCAGGACCATGTACTTGCCAGGCAAGTGCTGCATCACTGAGTTACATTAAAAAAACTAGAGTGGAAATTCTTTAAAAAACTAAAACTGGAAATTTCAGTTGACCCATTTAGTCTCAGTCTAGTGTTTTTACTAGATCTTATTACTTTATGACAATAAGAGTCATAGTTTAGAGACATTTCCAGAGTTAGTTTGTGTATTTGAGCCCATATTTTTAATGAGGTAGCAAGTTCTATTTTATCTTCTGTCTTTTTTTTTTTTTTTGACTGTCTCAGTTCACCCTGAGGGTGGGGCTGGCATGGCATGTGGTGCTGGGGATCAAACCGCGCTTCCATGCACCTGCCCAAGCTTGCCTAAATAGGTGATTTAGTTTGCTGAACTATCTCGCTGGTTCTTTTCTGTTGTGTACAGAAAAGGAATTTTAAAATTGTCTATTCATTTGTGTGTTTAGTGTAGATCTGTTCTCCATGATCTTTTCCTACCTCACTTCACCATTCCAAGTTTTATATATGATAGCCAGTACTAGCTCAGTGGCATAAATGCTTACCTGGCAAGTGCAAGGTCCTGAGTTTGATCCCTGGTACTGAAAAAAAAATATAAATAATTTCACAGAGCTGGATCTTTCTAAATACTTAAATATTTATTTTAGCCTCCTCACTTAACAGATAGAAGAGATTCAGAAATACATGTACTTTTCATGGGCACACAGCTGTCTTGTACAAAAAGTCTTTGAATCTAAGCCCTTCAATTCCAATGTATTTTTTCTCCTATAAAGTAATGATTTCTCTGAATATTACTGTATTTTTAAATTTCCTTTTCAAATTATGATAATATACTAAAATGTGATTAATTTCAGAATATTTAATGTAACTTATTAATAAGCATATTTGAATGCTACTTCTTTTTTAAGCTGGAGCTGCAAAAATTTCCTAGGCTAGTGTTGGCCACATGACAGAGCAAAGCATTAAGAAGATGTGACTGAGGTGGCTTTACAAGTAAGGTCATGTGTGGAGTCCTCTATCCTCTGGTTAGTGTAATAAGACTTCTCTAGGTTGATAGCTAGCAAAGATACTTAGAGGAATGTCATACATTGCTTCATGACTCAGGAAATAATGATTTAGAAACCTTTCCAGAGTTAGTTTGTGTATTTGAGCCATGAAGGAGAAATTTGCTGCCCAGGAGAGCAAAAAAGAACTTAGAAGTTTTAAAGGAGCCATTAATGATTTGAGAATCTAGTTAGTTAATAAGATATCACTAGCAGTTACTTCCTAGAAAAGACTACTTATTTCATCCCAATTTTTAAGACCAGCTAAACCAAGCACTATCAATTTTCAGTTTTAGCTGTTTTATTCTGTGTTTTATAGTGTACTAGTAGAAAGCTATTTTTTTTCAAATATCCAAAGAGCTAAATGGCTGGGTTGATTAATTTTATTTTATTTATTTTTCTCATTAAACTTTGTTTTAATGAGTCTCAAAATTCTGTGACAGAATTTTGGTCAAGTTGTTTCCATTAAAAAGTATTGATTTCAAAATATAATAACTTAAAAACTGCCACAAACACAAAAAAATGGTCCACACCATTTTGTATCTGTATATTTAAAATAGGATAGATATACAGCTACATTCTTTTAATTCAATGAATAAAAAGATCAGTTCTAATAGTGTTTGTGGACAAGATATCATGTCTACATCTTGTAAAATGAATAATCACTAAGACAGCAAACAAAATGTAAGGTATTTATTACTGAAACTATCCTACTAATCAGTTTTGAAGCTGTCTCATTATTATTTGTTTCTCAATAGAATTATTAAAAAATGGTTCACAAAACATCTCCTTTCATTCTGAAGGTTTAATGATGCATTGTTATCATTAACCAGTCTTTTACTATTAAACTTAAATGGCCAATGGGAAAAGCAGTTCTGAGACCAGTCTTCCACCGCTGATTAAGACTGGGTTGTCAGGTGTCAGGGATAATATTCATTTAGATTTCAGAGCTTTCTAGGCAGACTTGGTGATCTTGCCAGCTCCAGCAGCCTTCTTCTCCAGTTTGATGATAGCCACAGTGACTATCTGTCTCCTATAACAAACAGTGAAACAACCCAGAGGTGGGTAGTTAGAGAAGCTCTCAACACACATGGGCTGGCCTGGAGCCATGTCAACAATAACTGCATCACCAGATTTCAAAAACTTGGGCCCATCTTCCAGCTTCCCACCAGACTGGTGCTCAATCATTTCTTTCAGCTCAGCAAACTTGCAAGCAATGTGAGCTGTATGTCAATCCAGGACAGGGTCATAGACAGCACTGATCTGTCTGGGATGGTTCAGGATAATCATCTGAGAAGTTAAAAAGTTACTTCCATTGGTGGGTCTTTTTTGCTGTCTGTGGCAACATTGTTATGCCAGACAACTTTGACAGACACATTCTTGACATTGAAGTGCACAATGTCCCCAGCAAGAGCTTCACTCAAAGTTTCATGGTGCATTTCAACAGACTTGACTTCAGTTGTGACATTGGCTAGAGCAAAGAT